CTAATAATTATCTCAAATGCGGTATAACAACGATTTTAGTACACTGTAAAAAATTTTGGGAATTATCACCAACTTTTTTTGGTGAATATTTCATATTTTTGGGGAAAATGTTTTCCCCAAAAAAATAAGTGATTGTTTTCCTAAATTTTGGTGAAAATTTCCTAAAATTCTAATGTATATATTTTCCCTAAAAAGAGTTGGTGAAGATTTCTCAAAATTCCAATGAATATATTTTTCCCCAAAAACAAGTGGTGAATATTCCTCAATTTTTTTGAAATCCTTCTTCAAAAAAGTTAAACTTTAAACTTACTTAAGTTACAAAAAGTTATTTGTAACTTGTAATATAATTTATTCATTTCATAGATAAGTTAATTATAACTTAACTTAATAAGTATTTTTAAGTAGACAAAAATTTATATTTCTAAAGAATTAAATTAAAATTTAATCAATATTTGTTTAACAGATCTTATTTTATTTATTATATAACATAAGTCACAACTATTTTCAACGTGTGTTTCCTTTTTTTAAAGTTACAAAGCATGTTTACATAGTTTCATCTTATATATTGAAATTATCATTTTATTTTCATGAGCCTCCGTGGCGTAGTTAGTAGAGCGTTAGACTTCTAAATCTCTCCTAATGACGCTTACGTTCGAGACCTCATGATAATATTTGATAATTTTCAAGAAAACAAATTTTCATCAATAGGTACCAATAAATAATGTAAGTAAGATATAAATGCTACATGAATCAAATTTTTAAATTTTTATTTCAATTTTTTAAACTATTGATATTAATCTTTGGGAAAATTCACTAATATTTGTGGAATATTCCCTAAAATTTTAGGGAAAAGTTTCCCCAGAAAATTTTAGGGAATTTTCCACAAAATGCCCTGCAAATTTGCGTCACTAGAATTTTGGGGAATTTTAACCAAAAAATTTTTTACAGTGTACGTTTTTTGGTACAAAACAATTTTATTTCCATTTTTTTAAAATTATTAATTGTCTATAAAATTATTCTCTAATTTGAAATCCAACAGTTATGATAGAAAAAACCTTTGAAAAAAAAAAAAATTTCGACCGTGGGAAGAATCGAACGCGGGTTTAATTATCACAAATCGAGTATGTAATCCACTCGACAAGTTCAAATTTTTATAAAATTATTGTATAAATATGTCTCTGTTAATAAGATTTTACTGCATAATTGCTGCAAAAAATTGAATTGTATATTAAAAATGCATAGCAAAATTGTTCCAAACTAGAAAAAAAAATTGAATTTTTGGTGAAAAGCAATTTTTTTTTTTTTTTTTGTATTCTAAAATGAATTTTACATTTCTCGCGCGCACTTGAAATCGCGTTGTGTATATAAATATGGATAAATACCGCCTTTGAGTGATGATATATAGTGTATAAGGTTTCGCGAAAGGACATTAGCTACGGGTGTAGCATGGTGAGAGAGAGAGTCTTGCACGGAAGCCCGCTTAACCATTTTATGGGGTGGTCGGTGTAATTTGATGGCCCATAAAAACGCCTAGTCTAGTTTTTCCCGAGGCATCGTCATCCGCGTCGTGTACGCGGGCACGTGCCCATTTCGCGCCTTATACCTCCCTCTCATATTCTCAAAGTGACCCTGATTTCCTAAATATATATATATATGCTTAATGTTATTCTTTTTTTCATTTTAATTTTCAGCCATTTTCAAAATTTTGAAAATCTAATACTAAATTCGTAATCATAGAGACCACGAATTATCGACTACGAAAAACCCGGAGGTATATGAGTTTCAAACGAATTTCATAAATTTCTTTAAAAACAATTTCAGAATTCGGTCAATTTAAAAAAATTTGCGCCATTTTAGATTCGCAATTTAAAAATTTTTAAAACTAATGCGCCAAATTCGTAATCATCAATGACAACAATAGGAAAAATTCCCGAGTAATAAATTTCAAGCAAATTTATAATGAATTTTGTTTTAAAAAAATGTACGAATTCGGTCAATTTAAAAAAAATCCTTCCATTTTGGATTTGCCATTTCGAATTTTGAAAAATTAATGCTAAATTCGTTATTAGCGACCCACAAAAACCACCCTGAGAAATGATGTTTCAAACGAATTTAATTATAATTGTCTTTAAAAAAAAAAAATTCCGAATTCGGTCAATTTCAGAAAAAATTACGCCATTTTGGATCCGCGTTATTTTTAATATCGAAAAACTAATGGCTAATTCGTAATTAGCGATCATAAAAAATTCCATGAGTAATGAATTTCAAGCGAATATGATCAATTTTGTTTACAAAAAAAAAATTCGAATTCTGTGAATTTAAGAAAAAATTGCGCAATTCAGGATTTTGAAAAACTAATGCCTCAAATTCGTAATCAGCGATTACAAAAAACGCCTAAATAATAAATTTTAAGCGAATTTGATCGATTTTGTAAAAAAAAAAAAAATATGACCAAATACGGTCAATTAAAAAAGAATCGGGCCATTTTGGATACGCCATTTTGAATTTTGAAAAACCAATGCCAAATTCGTAATCGGCAACCACATAAGGAACCTCGTGTAATGTTTTTCAAGCTTGTAAAAAAAATTTCCTAATTCGGAGAATTGAAAAAAAAATTGTGCCATTTTGGTTTCGCCATTTCGAATTTTGAAAAATTAATACTAAATTTGTTATCAGCGACCACAAACCCCCCCCCCCCCCCGAGAAATTATGTTTCAAGCGAATTTAATTAATTGTCTTTTAAAAAAAATTCCGAATTCGGTCAATTTTAGAAAAAATTACGCCATTTTGGATTCGTTATTTTTAATATCGAAAAACGCCTAAATAATAAATTTTAAACGAATTTGATCGATTTTGTTAAAAAAAAATATGACCGAATACGGTCAATTAAAAAAGAATCGCGCCATTTTTGATCCGCCATTTTGAATTTTGAAAAACTAATGCTAAATTTGTTATCAGCGAACACAAAAAATCCCTGATTAATGAATTTCAAGTGAGTTTAATTAATTTTCTTTAAAAAAAAAATTCCAAATTCGGTCAATTTAAGAAAAAATTGCGCCATTTTGGATCCGCCATTTTTAATATCGAAAAACCAATGCCAAATGCAAAATCGGCGACCACATAAGGAACCTCGTGTATACTGTTTTTCAAGCTTGTAAAAAAAATTTCCTAATTCGGAGAATTGAAAAAAAAATCGTGGCCATTTTGGATTCGCCATTTCGAATTTTGAGAATTTCAACTGTCCACAGCAAATTTAATTAATTATTGCACTGTTTTTTTTTTGCTAATTTAAAAATAAATAATGACTTTAAAAAATGAACAAAATTTTCTTTTTTAAATCATTTGGTTTTTTTTTCGAATAAGAAGTTAAAAAAATCATATATATATATTTTTTTCACCTTATAGAATATATTATTATAAAAACAAAGTTTTTTGATGCAAAAAGAAATTCATTTTTTCTTAAAGAAAGCGCGAAACTTTTAAATTAAGGGAAATTCAAATTATACACTGTAAAAAATTTTTTGGTTAAAATTCCCCAAAATTCTAGTGACGCAAATTTGCAGGGCATTTTGTGGAAAATTCCCTAAAATTTTCTGGGGAAACTTTTCCCTAAAATTTTAGGGAATATTCCACAAATATTAGTGAATTTTCCCAAAGATTAATATCAATAGTTTAAAAAATTGAAATAAAAATTTAAAAATTTGATTCATGTAGCATTTATATCTTACTTACATTATTTATTGGTACCTATTGATGAAAATTTGTTTTCTTGAAAATTATCAAATATTATCATGAGGTCTCGAACGTAAGCGTCATTAGGAGAGATTTAGAAGTCTAACGCTCTACTAACTACGCCACGGAGGCTCATGAAAATAAAATGATAATTTCAATATATAAGATGAAACTATGTAAACATGCTTTGTAACTTTAAAAAAAGGAAACACACGTTGAAAATAGTTGTGACTTATGTTATATAATAAATAAAATAAGATCTGTTAAACAAATATTGATTAAATTTTAATTTAATTCTTTAGAAATATAAATTTTTGTCTACTTAAAAATACTTATTAAGTTAAGTTATAATTAACTTATCTATGAAATGAATAAATTATATTACAAGTTACAAATAACTTTTTGTAACTTAAGTAAGTTTAAAGTTTAACTTTTTTGAAGAAGGATTTCAAAAAAATTGAGGAATATTCACCACTTGTTTTTGGGGAAAAATATATTCATTGGAATTTTGAGAAATTTTCACCAACTCTTTTTAGGGAAAATATATACATTAGAATTTTAGGAAATTTTCACCAAAATTTAGGAAAATAATCACTTATTTTTTTGGGGAAAACATTTTCCCCAAAAATATGAAATATTCACCAAAAAAAGTTGGTGATAATTCCCAAAATTTTTTACAGTGTATATATATAGAGATAGAGGGAAAAAAAAATATAAAAAAAAATTTCCAATTGAGAAGCTTCTCTTAATTAAAAGAGTTTTGTGAAGTGTACGAAGAAAATTGAGATTCTTCGCGAAGAAAAGATATGAAAATATATATATACAAAACTTTTTTACTCAATCACTTCAAGAAAAATGGTTTTAAAAAAAAATTGTATAATTAAAAATGCAAAAATAAAAAATACATTACCTATTACATTTTTAACATAATTTTTCTAACAAATTTGTAAATATTGGCAAAAATTTAATAATATCGATTCAATAGATCGAATATAGTAAAAATTCTCTAGCAGAAATTTTGCCAGGGCCCAGAAAGGGGCCGAATTAGGCTGCCCTATTAGGTATAATAAAACGCCGCGTCTGATGTGTCCCTGATTAGAAAATCCACATTTTCTGGTGGTCCTGATTTGGCCCCGATCAGGTGTGGCGTTTCGTTCCCTACTAGGGCTCTGATAGGGCAATTTCTACATTATCAAATGTATCGTTTTTTTTTTTTTTTTTGAAAGAGTGAAAAAAATATATAATATATCAAATCGATTTTGTTTCAG